CCAGCCCCAAGTGTTGGGGTAAAATCCCAAATAATACTGGTGGGTCTGGTGTCAAAATACTGAGTGTAATCAAAGTAGAGAGAAATGTGGAAATCATCTGCCCCACAGGTAGGGGGAGGGTGTGGGATGGGGGCATACTGGGGTTTTTGGTGGTGAAGAATGGGCACTGGTGAAGGTATGGGTGTTTCATTGTATGACCAAGACTTAAACCCGAAAGCTTTGTAACTGCTCTCACGGTGATTCAATAAATAAAATTATAAAAAATGAAAAAAAAAACGGGCCTATAGAATTCTTCAGTGGAGCCATTTGATTATGTAATCAGCCTTGACGTATTAGGTGACCCATAGGGTTTTATTGTTTTGTTTTGTTTATTTTATTTGTGCTGGAGCAATAGCACAGCAGGTAAGGCATTTGCCTTGCACATGGCCAGCCTACATGGCCAACCCGGGTTCGATTCCTCCACCCCTCTCAGAGAGCCCGGCAAGCTACCGAGAGTATCTCGCCTGCACGGCAAAAGTCTGGCAAGCTACCTGTGACGTATTCAGTATGCCAAAAACAGTAACAACAAGTCTCACAATTTGTTGTGAGATGTTACTGGTGCCCGCTCAAGCAAATCGATGAACAATGGGAGGACAGTGCTACAGTGCTGTTTTTTTTTTTTAATTTATTTTGGTTTTGGTGATGCTCAGGGGTTACCCCTAGTTCTGCACTTGAATCACTCCTGGCAGTGCTGGAGATGACCATATGGAGTTCCTGATCAAAGGAAGCAAGCACCCTACCTGCTGTACTATTATCTCTTGGGCTCTGAGGCTTATATTTTCTAACTGGTCTTTCCCTAACATTCTTCCTATATGAAGATACTTTCTTTTTTGGTGTGTATGTGGGGGGATGGGGGGGGCGGTAGAAGAGTAGGGTTTGGTAGTGGGAGCTATTCCTGCTTAGGTGCTGGTGTGGGGGGGCGTTTCCCAACAGCGCTCAAGAACTACTTGGTGGCTGGGATCAAACTTAGAGCCCTTGTAGGTAAAGCGTGTGCTTTCAGTCCTTTGTACTCTCTACCTGGGCCTTGTGAAGCTATTTTCTGCTTTTTCTTTGTTTTTTGGCCACACCTGGCAGTGCTCAGGACTTACCTGACTCTGAGCTCAGGGATCATTCCTGGTGGTGTTTGGGCGACCATATGGGGTGCCACTTATCAAACTGATCAGCTGCCTGCAAGACAAGTGTCTTACCCACTGTATTATTGTTCCAGCCCCAAAGAAGAGGATATTTTCTAAGGTCCTTTGTTTATGCTCTCTTAATTCTTCCTTCTTTCTATATGCAATCTGTAGGTGATGTCATCTGTTTATGGCTTTAGCTATTATTAATATATCAAAAACCTCTATTGCCAAACTAGATCTCTCTCATGAGTTCCTTAACTCATCATGGCCAAATATATTTGTTAAGATCATAGCCAACATAGACACTTTATTTTTATTTTTGGATTTTGGAGGCCACACCTGACTGTACTTGGGACTTGTCCTGACTTAGTGCTCAGGAGACTGGAAATTGAAACTGGGTCTTCTGCATACAAAGCATGTGTTCCAGCCATTTAAATGGTCTCTTCTGCGCTGTCTTAGGACATTTTAAACTCATTGTGTCCCAAGCCACATATTTTCAGCAGCATATTTTTTTTCTTCATGTTTCCCTATTCTTTTTTATTTCTTCATCCTTTGTTCCTTGACTTAGGAGGATCACTATCCAGGAACATTTGTAATGTTGATTTTGCATCCTAGTTTCCAGTATTTCTTCACTAGGAATTTAATAGACTCTGAGTATAATGGGAGATGTTCAGGATGTGAGAGATTGATAGTTCCATTCTTCCTTTCTCCCTCTCTTTTTTTTCTTTTCTCCCTTCCTTTCTTATCTTCTCTATTGTGGACAGAGCAGTTTAACAGAAAAATATAGTTCAAAGTTAATTATGTTCAGATGGAAAGTGGAAGTGCTGTAGCCAAAACTTCTGAGAGCTAAGACCCTGGTAGAAATCTTTCTAGAAGAAATGAGACAAGAACATCCGAGGAACCAGAAGACCCCGTTATAGACATGCAGAGTAAAGATATTATGGGACATAGATTCCTCCACTCCTTTTGGAAAGCTACCGAGAGTATCTCGCCCGCACAGCAAAGCCTGGCAAGCTACCTGTGACGTATTCGATATGCCAAACACAGTAACAAGTCTCACAATGTTACTGGGCCTGCTCGAGCAAATCGATGAACGGGAGGACAGTGACACTGACAGGGTACTCAGCTTGTTTCTTAGATAAGCAGAGTCATTGGTTCCTGCCCTCTGGGCTGCTTCTGTAAGTCATCACTGAACGTCATGGTTTGAATTCTTTACAAAGATTCTGTGGATTCAGTGTAAGCCATTACTTCAAAGGGATCATCCTTTCTGTTACATTTTTGGCTCAAAGTGATTATTTTTATTTGTTTGTCTTGGGATCATACCCAGCAGTGCTCAGGGCTTACTTCTGCCTTTGTGCTCAGGGATTACTCCTGGCAGATTTGGGAGACCATATGGGGTGCCAAGAATCAAACCCAGGTGGCCGCATGCAAGGCAGATGCCCCACCTACTGTACTATCTCTCTGGCCCTCAAAGTGATTCCTTAACTTGTCATATGTATGATTCCCTCACCCAGAATTTTTCAGATTCCTGGAAGACATTTATTTATGGTTATTCTAATTTTGAACTTTGCTTTCACTAAATTAGATTATAATCAGTTTTACTCTCTCAGGCATGCTCTGTTTCCTTCCTCATCGACCCTAATGTAGAATTCAGGTATCTTCCAGCTGAAGCCTTTAAGTATTATTAAATGTTTGAGGCAATGGAGAGAATTTTTATTGCAGCAAAACAAGCTACTTGAATCCTAATACTGGCTCTCTCTGTCCCTTAAAGTACTTTTCCCTCCTCTCATTTGAGATTTATTACCATTCATTACCTATACAAAGCCTTGGACTCTTTTTTTTTTAAACAAATGTTTTGTTTGGATTCTTACTATTCTTAGTCCTCTACAAATGTTTTTCACTGTGTTGCCACTAAGCACGCCAAGTGCTTGCACTCTTATGCAAAGCAGTTGAACACTGTCTCTCTCCCTCTGAACTCAGCTCTGCATAGCCACAGCTCAACTGAAAAGCTCAGCTAAGTAAAAAGCTCATCTACCTCTTTTGCCACTCAAATATTTGTAGAACCTCTGATTACATTTCCTCTTTTGAATGCATTTCTTGTTTTAAATAGTATTTACTTCTTGCCTCAGGAATGGTTTTGTTTTGAAGAAATCTGTGGAGGGATGGTAAGAGGATATTCCAGTCCAAGGCAGTGGTGTGAATATAGACTGCAACCTACATAACACCTATTGTGGGCAATAAAAAAACTAGTCCAACTGGAAAGAGGAATTCTTGGCGACAAGGGCTCAGGGTAGAATAGAAAGTCCAGAATCAGGCCTAGGTTTCCATGGGGAAAGGATAATGTTTAGAAAAATGAGACAGGAAAACTGTCTATAGCAGTCCTTAAAAAAGATTCTTGTCATCATCTAGCTAGAGTAAGTTCTAGATGGGTTAAAGATTTTTATGTAAAAACTATATAAAGTTTCAACTATATGTTGAAATCGATTTTTTATTTTTTTGACTTTCTTATTGAATCACTGTGAGATAGATCATTACAAAGCTGTTTATGATTGAATTTCATTCATGCAGTATTCCAACACCCACTGCTCCACCAGTGTACATTCCCCAGCACCAGTGTCCCTAGGTTCACTCCCATCGCCCTCCACTTCCCTCCCACTGCCTGCCTCTCTATGGCAGGAACTTTTCTTTCTCTATCTCTCTCTCACTCTCTTCCCCTCCCCCCACTCTTTGGGCACTGTGGCTTGTAATATTGATACTGAAAAGTTATCCAGAATATCCCTTACCTACTTTTAACCTTCAGCTCTTGTCCAATGTGATCATTCCCAGCTATTCTTGTCATAGTGGTCTCTTCTCTATCTTACCTACCCGCAGCATGACACACACTTGTGGTTAGTTACAACCATTGACCAGTCCTCCTAACCCCCTGTTTTCCCTGGCAATGGATATTAGGAAGAGATTTTTAGTATGTTGCTCAAAGCAGAAATAGGATAAAGGTTGATGGATAATCCATAAAACAGAACAAAAACAAAACCACAACAGGGCTGGGGAGATGATTCAAAGGACTAGGGTAAATGCTTTGCATGCAAGAGCCTCATGTTCAGTTCCCAGCACCACTTGGTTCAGAGCACTGAGCTGGTGTTTTGTCCTACTGTTTTTGCCTTAGTACTGTCAAGTGTGGCCCAAACACTGCCCCTGTCCCTGCTCCTATCTAAGCAAACAGAAAAGTGCAGCCAGCAGGGGTGGAGCGATAGTACAGCAGGTAAGGCACTTACTTGCCTTGTACACAGCCAACCCGAGTCCGATCCCTGGCATCATTTGGTCCCCCAAGCAGTGCCAGGACTAATTCCTGAGTGCAGAGGTAGGAGTAACAGTACCCCTGAGCATCGCCAGGTATGGCCCACAAACAAACAAAAAGTACAACCACTGCAAACAAAATAAAAAATTGATGACAAATTGCCTTTTACAAATATATGCTTGTATTTTTTGTTGTTGTTTGGGTGACACCCAGCAGTGCTCAGGGGTTATTCCTGGGTCTACACTCAGGAATCACTCCTGGTGGTGTTCAGGAGTTGATATGGGATGCCGGGAATTGAACTCGGTTCAGCTGCATACAAGGTGAGTGCCCCAATCCCTGTCCCCTATAGATTTGTTTGATTTTTTTTTAAAGGCAGGGGTCCATACGTCCACAGTGAGTGCCCTACCACTGAATTGCACTTGCAGCCTATTGCTGGTAATACAAGTTCTCTGAATTGTGTTTTGGCAATACGTACAACATTTCAGCGCTCTTGCTCTTAAGCCCGGGGTTTGTGAACAGAGGTATATGTATGTGAATTATTTTTATTGCAGAGTTTACAGAGCAGTCAGAATGACCCTCAAAGGACCCAGAAGATGGCTCAGTGGCTTACAGTGCATACATGGTGAGCACAGCATTGAGAGTTCAAAACTTCCGTATACTTTCACTGTCTGACAGCTCTGCTGTTGAAGATCTCAGAGAGGAAGGGCCTGGACTTAGTCTAGGTGAGTGTGCGGTCCTGAGCTTTAATCCCTGGTGCTGTATGTGCAGATGTGATCCTGACTGCCACACAGTCTGGGATCCTCCATGAGAGGGAAAAGCAGCCATTGAGGTGAAATTGTTACATAAATTATAAATGGAGTTATTTTTATAATTCTGACACAGAAATATTAAAAATTATATGCATAAGGAACCTGTTTCCCTGTATGTATTTTTAAAAAATCTTTCTGCATAGTGTTAATAGAAATTATCTTTTCTACTTTAGAAAAAGAAGTTCGGGACTGGAGCAGTAGCACAGCAGATAGAGCATTTGCCTTGCACGCATCCGACCTGGGTTCAATTCCCAGCATCCCATATGGTCCCCTGAGCACCGCCAGGAGTAATTCCTGAGTGAAGAGCCAGGAGTGACCCCTGTGCATCGCCGGGTGTGACCCCCAAAAAACAGAAAAAGAAAGAAGAAAAGTTCATTTGAGCAGTAGTAAAGTAGGACCAGACAGGTAGCTAGCTCATCAGATTGGACTGCATGCGTAGCATCCAGGAGGTCCAGGCTCAAACCCCAGCACCATATGGTCCCTGAGCTCAGGAGTCACTCATGAACACTGTTGGGTATCTTTCCCAAATAAATAAAAAATGGTGGTAGGTAGGCTGAAGCCAGACACAATTATTTTCATCTCGACCTATGCAGTGAATATTGTTGGTAAAAGCAGTGATCGGGGATGGTGTTATGGTGTGAATGTATGAAATGAAGGAAACTAAAAGGTTATGCATTGGTTATAAAGCTGAGGTGCCACTCCAGCCCTGAAACAGTAAGGCATCAGTTGGGGTAGGCAGCTGGGTTATAAGAAAAACCAATCTGAAGGACAAGTTAGTGAAAAAGAAGTTATAGAAGAAAGAATCAAAACAAGTCACTATTCATTCTATAGTTGTCTACCTTGTGGAACTGAAAAATATGATTGTCATGACAGAAACTAGGGTAACTGGCAAGGGGAATCACTCTTTTATAAGGAAAAAGCAAAGTTTTTTTTGTTGTTGTTGGGGGGGTAGAGGGTCACACCCATGATGCTCAGGGGTTACTCCTGGCTCTGCACTCAGGAATTACTCCTAGCAGTGCTCAGAAAACCATATGGGATGTCAGGGATAGAACCCAGGTTGGTTGGCCACGTGCAAGGCAAACACCCTACCCACTATACTATTGCTCTGGCCCCCAAATTTCTTTTTCCCCAAAATTTCTTTTTTCTTTTTTCTTTAAAGAGCTGGAGATAAGGGGCTGAAGTGATAGCATAGCGGGTAGGGCATTAGCCTTGCACACAGCTGACCTGGGTTTGATTCCCAGATCTCATATGGTCCTCTGAGCACTGCCAGGAGTAATTCCTGAGTGCATGAGCCAGGAGTAACCCCTGTGCATTTCCAGGTGTGACCCAAAAAGCAAAAAAAAAGGGGGGGGCTGGAGATATATCCATAAGTTATATTATTTTGGGATATGTTTGTTTTGGAGTCATACCTGGCTATACTCAGGGCTTAATCCTGGCTCTGTGCTCAGTGGTCACTCCTGGTGTACTCAGAGCACCATCTGGGGTGCTAGGAATCAAATCCAGGACAGCTGCATGCAAGGCAAACATCCTACCCACAGTACTATTGTTCTGGCCCCATATATCCCTAAGTTCTGGGTTCTTACTTAGATAAATAGATTTCTAAAATAGAGAAAATAGGGCCTGGAGGTCAGTGGCTTAGGATGCAGCCTTACAGATATGTGGACAAATACATTTGTTCAAATGTCCAAATGAGTTCAAATCTGGCATCACCACCTGTTCTGAGCATGATCCTGGCCACTCTGCTGTTGATCCTGGGAGCTCTGCTCTCCAGTCACAAGTGCTACAAGCAAGTGAATTCTGGCCACACTGTAGCCTTGTGTGTGTAAGCATCAGAAAAAGTGATGTGGGCCAGAGAGATAGTACAGTTGGTAGGGCACTTGCCTTGCATGCAACCAACTGGGATTCAATCCCCAGCATCCCATATGGTCCCCCAAGCATCGCCTGGAGCAATTCCAGAGTGTAGAGCTAGGAGTAATCCTGAGCATCACTGGGTGTGCTCTTAAAAACGGTTACCCTTGACAAGTACCACAACTGAGATGTGGAGGTGCTACAATCAAAAAGCTGTGTGATCACTGAAGTGACCCCAGGAGCCAACAATGTATGCCTCAAGAAGAGTGGAACCCTAGTGAGCATATGTGCAAACCTCAGTGAGCTCATTGTTCAAGTGTGCAGATACTGCAGCATGGTGTACAACCGTGGGGAGCACACACTGCTAGCAATGTGGTCGAATCGCAGGCAGGTGTGTGTGTAGCCTCCAGAGTTCACCACAGAAGCATCATCAGTGAGGAAGGGAAAGTTGGGGAGAGAAGGAAGGGGAAAAGAGTTGTTCGTTGGAGAGAAAGTACAGGTGTTTTGGTGCTTACCTTGCGCTAAGCTGACCCTGGTTTAATCCCCAGTACCACATATGGTCTCCTGAGCATCACCAGGAGTGACCCCTGAGCACAGCCAGGTTTGGCCGTCCCCCCACCAACAAAAGACTCCTTAAGGTATAATTAACTAAAGCTTCTTAGAAAGGAGCTGTTAAAATAGAGAAAAAAGGATAAGAGGGGAATGCTCCAGGTTTGGTCTTTGACATACTTGGGGGATGGATTGTTGAATCTTGATTCATCCTTTCCTGCTTGCAGTTGTGTTAATTTCTTTGTTTTTTTTTTTTTAATTTCCTTTTGTTTTGGGACCATATGCAACAGTTTTCAGGGCTTCTGTTGTGGTAAGGGACCTTTACTGGCAGATCCCAGGGGACCATATGCCTTGTCAGGGAGCAAACCAGGGTCAGTTGTGTGTAAGGCAAGCACCTTAAACTCTGTACTGCCTCTCTGACCCTCCTACTGGCAGTCTTGATAGATCTTCAGAGAGATATGTTATGGTAGTCTCAGTTGGCACCTGAGAGGTAAGAGTAATGATGGTAGGAACACAAAAGCTACAACATTATTTTAAAGTCACTCTATGTGGGCTGGGAGATAACTGAAGTGGTGCACACTTACCAAGCATATGTGAAGTCCTGAGTTTTGAGGTTTTTTCTTTTTTTTCCTCCCTTTTCTGTTTTGGACCACTCCTGGCTCTGCACCCAGGAATCCCTCCTGGTGGGACTCTGGGGGCAATATGGGGTTTGGAGACCATATACTGGGGTTCAAACCCAGGTCAGCCACATGCAAGGCATATGTACTGTCTGTCTGACTGGAAAGTTCTGAATTGTATCCTTCATACTCCATGAACCCCCAGCAGTGCCAGGTGCGATTCCTCTGTGGTTTGTCTATATATAAAAAAGAAAATCTTTATTTACAAAGGCAAATATATCATATGTATATAGAATTATGTAGGCTATATCATTATAAGTAAGGCCCTCCCATTGATCATCGATTTGCTCGAGCGAACCCAGTAATGTCTCCATTGGAGACTTTGTTGTTACTGTGTCTGGCATATCGAATACATCACGGGGAGCTTGCCAGGCTCTGCCGTGCGGGTGAGATACTTTCGGTAGCTTGCCGGGCTCTCCGAGAGGGGCGGAGCAATCGAACTTGAATCGGCCATGCTGGCTGCGTGCAAGGCAAACGCCCTACCACTGTGCTATCATTATATAATAGTTATATCACTATATATATCACTATATAGCTGTATCACTATAATGATATAGCTGACAATTCTATATGCTTTGCATTATTATTTTTCTCCTTTTATGTACACTGAAGCTCAATTAGAGAGTAGAATTAGGACGTAAACTTAGGTATTCAGAATTTAAATTCCATTGCTTATATCCCCACTGAGTCATTCTCCCTCATCTCATTGTCTTTTAGAAGTGTACTTAGAGCAGAACCTGTGATATAGAGCTAGGGATATCCACAGTTACGAGATAGGCGGGAAAAAGAGCCAGGAAAGGTACCATGTCACTTACCATCACAACCCAGATTTCCGTAACCATAGAAGCTTGAAGGTTCCATTAAATTTGAGTGGGGGTGTTGAGTTTTCATATGTTCATAAATAGCTTGAGGTGTTTTGGAAATAAATTGGCTTATTTGCTTACAGCAGGACTAAGAGTGGCTGTTTCGTGGTATGTTAAATTCAGGGTTTGTTCTTTTGAAAACAGAACGATAAAAGCCTATTGATTTGACCCATGAGTCTAAGGGCTTACCTGAATTAATTACATGAAAAACAGCTTTTGCGATGTCATTAGACTTGTTTACATTTAGAATTACATGGACCTCTCTTGTTCATGTATGAGCTAACTGGTGAAGATCCTAAGAGAGGTGGAATTAGTGAGCGGGAAATCAAGTTTCCTTAAGTCACATAAATTTTCAACTATCTTATTGATAGGATTAAATTACCCATCTAACCTATTCTGATCAGTATAAGCACAAAAATGGAATTACTTTTTGTCAGAAGTTTTGAATCAGTGGGATACATTTATTTTTATTTTTGGGTCGACACCAAAGGCATCAGTCTTTTATTTTTCTTCTTATTTTGAACTTAGCTAGATTTACCTGTAAAGTTCTGTGGGGGCTGGGGAGATAGCTGAGTGGTAGAGCGCATGCCTAGCTTATGCACTGCCCTGAGATTGACCCCCATGCATTACATACCTCTGCCCCCAGCTCTTAGGGCACCAATGGGTATGACCTCTATAATAAAACAAAAAGAATCCCCTGAAATTGCTAGCAGTAATATCTGGTAAGAATTTGCAAGTCATTTTTTATATCCCAGTTAGTGTCAAAGCATGAAGCAATGAATGCATGAGTAAAGGAATCCTTTTGTTTGTTTTTGACAGGGAGCGGGATGAGGAGGGATGCTTGAGCCAACCCGACAGTGCTGGGATTCAAACCTTGGAATCATTGCTGCAGCCACATGCAAGGCAAGTGCTGTTAATCTCTGTACTGTCTCTGCAGCCCAAAGATGGAATCTTTTTTTGGTTTTGCTTTGTTTTACAATTATAAAGCTTTCATGTTCGAGACTCAGCCGTACAATGATCAAACACCCATCCCTCCACCAGTGCACACCTTCCACCACCAGTGTCCCCACTGTCCACCCCCCCCCCCAACCCCCCTCTCCCCCATGGCAGACAATTTCCCCAATATTCTCTACTTTTGGGCATTAAGTTTTGCTCAGATTTTCCAAGCACCATTCTAGCCTGCTTGCCAGGGGCAGATGCTAGATCATTTATTGTCCATTGCTCATTTTGGGGCTGGAGTGATAGCACAGCAGTAGGGCATTTGCCTTGCGCGCAGCCAGCCCTGCCAAGCTGGGTTCAGTTCCTCCGCCCCTCTTGGAGAGCCTGGCAAGCTACCGAGAGTATATTGTCTGCACGGCAAAGCCTGGCAAGCTACCCGTGACGTATTCGATATGCCAAACACAGTAACAGTTGTCACAATGGAGATGTTACTGGGCCCGCTCAAGCAAATTGATGAACAACGGGAGGACAGTGACAGTTTGAATATTATGAGTGCCGTGACCACTCGCTTCTGGAATCCTAGATTGTAAATGGTTGGTTTCCAGAGACATTTCTGTAGAGCACTAACCCATTTTGGGATTCAATTGATGTCTGGACCAGGGCTGTTGGTGCACTAAGATGGAGCCCAGAGGCACATTGTGGGGATGACAGCCAGGCCCATGAGCGGGCGGGGAGCCAGGAAGGAACAGCCTGGCGCCTCTGCTGCCATGCGGCATGGAGATTTAGTCCTGGAACCCATGTACCTGGGCCTTGCTTGTGGAAGCTCTTGGTCACCAGGATTCCATCTGGAGCAGATGGAATCTTTTTCAAATCTTCCCTTCCTGAGCCATCCTTCCCCAGCCTCACTACAACTTTGTTGGGTAGTTTGGGGACATTTTTAGTGGTAGCTTTTATAGCGGGGGGTAGCGGGGTAGGAGGCGGAGAATGAAGGAACTGTGGGAATTTTCTACTTCGTGGAGCCACCAACTCACAGCAGACTCTTCTCATAGTTCCTAAAATTATTAATGCCTAATGGGGTATGGATAGAGAGGACGGGGATTAAGATGCTTGTCTTGCATGCGACTGACTTATTTGATTCCCAGCACCACATACGGTTCCCTGAAAACCATCAGGAGTGACCCATGAACACAGAGCCAGGATTAAATCCTGAGCATAGCCAGGTACGGTGTAAAACCAAACAAAACTATCAGGAGATACAGCTCAATGGTAGAGACTTACATGGGTAAAATTATGGGTATAGTCCTGGACACCTGAGGGTGAGGCAGAGGGTGGGTAGGTAGCAAAAGATCACTGAAAAAATCTTTGGGGCAACAGAGGAGGTGAAAGGAGATTTCCTATGTGGATTTTACCCAAAGAGTATTTACTTTTGTGTGTGTGTGTGTGTGTGTGTGTGTGTGTGTGTGTGTGTGTGTGTGTGCTATCTCTCCAGCCCCCGAAAGAGTATTTACCTTTTTTTTTTTTCCTTTTTTGGTCACACCCGGCGATGCTCAGGGGTTACTCCTGGCTTTGCACTCAGGAATCACTCCTGGCGGTGCTCGGGGGACCATATGGGATGCTGGGAACCGAGCCCAGGTCGGCTGCGTGCAAGGCAAACGCCCTACCCGCTGGGCTATTGCTCCAGCCCGGAGTATTTACTTTTTAAGTTGTTCTTTACCACCATTCCTCTTTGCTTGCTTGGATTCAAAATCAGTATTATTTCTGGCTCTTAGAAGACTTTAACTTACTAGCCTGGCTCTACACCCTGGCCATGTACTTCTAATGAGTTTTAGTGTGGCTGGAAATTAAAACTTGCATGAGAGCTTCAGAGAGACTTGGGGCCTATCACCTGGCTCTGCCCTGTATTTTCTGGCTTTCATTCGTAACTACCTTTATACTCTTAGCACAATCCTCCAGGTCCATAGTTCTGCCTGGATGAGGATTAAGGATTCTGTTTGGGGTACTGGGAATTGAACCTGGTCAGCTGCATGCAAGGCAAGTGCTCTACTCTCTGCGCTGTCTCTCTAGTCCTGGATTCAGGACTCTTCTTCAGAGGGATCATAGAGGCAGAAACATCCTGATGTTGGTTTTGCCATTGTCATTGCCATTGTCTTGCCTTTGGACAGCTAATGGTTTCTTGGAGGTGAACTGTCAACTATACTGGAAGTGATTGGGGGACTTAACATAAAGGATTACCACTGAGTTTCTTTTTTTTTTTTTCATTTGCAGTGAGAGGACTCGAAGCCAGGGACCCCTGCACACAAGACATATGCAAAGATATACGCAATACTTCCAAGCCATATCCTTCTGCCCTTCCACCAAGTTTCAGTATTGTACCTGCTTTTCAAAATAAAATTTTTTATTCACACTGTAATGTTCAATTATTTGCATCAAGAAAACAAACATTTCAGATTTTCTAGATTGTTTTGGACAGAAATGAGCACAGTTTGAGAGGTTTAGCAAGCGTAAGGCCCTGCCTGTGCTGAGGGGAGGTAACTCTTGAATTGTGTGAAAAGCCCTGAAGCAGAAGGGAGCAGCAACCGAGGAAGTCGTAGTCTTTCCTAGAGGAGCATCTCTCAGGGTATTTTTCAGGCAAATGGTTTTTTCTCTAGGAATGCCCTTCTCACATCGCTCAGACTGGACAGTTCATGAAACTTTTACCTTACTTTTCCACACTAAAGCCAAACAACATAGTAATGCCTCAGTATTTGAGACTTTTCACAGGACATTAAAATAAGTAAAGGGTCCGAGAGACAGAACAAGCACTTGCCTTGCATGCAGTCAGTTCTATTTTGATCCCCGGAACTGCAGATGGCCCTCCAAGCATCCCTAGGAATGATCCATGAGCATTTGTTGGATGTGACCATAAAACAAAACATAGATTGACTCATAACTAAATCTTGAAAGAGAAGAGGGGGCTGCAGGGATGCTTCTGGACCCCAAGGTAACCATCCAGTTAAAAATTTAACTCCAGTTGTATCAGCTTATTCAAAATTTTAGAATTTCTGGAGCAACATATTATATTCTACACCACAGATTTACCAGGAGTAGCACACCAGATTGGATGGGATGTAAAGTAGAAGGCAACCAATCTCGATGAAGAAAATAGGGGCTGGAGCGATAGCACAACGGTAGGGCGTTTGCCTTGCATGCAGCCAACATGGCTGACCCGAGTTCGATTCCTCCGCCCCTTTCGGAGAGCCCAGCAAGCTACCGAGAGTATCTCGCCTGCACGGCAGAGCCTGGCAAGCTCCCCGTGACGTATTCGATATGCCAAACACAGTAACAACAAAGTCTCCAATGGAAGACGTTACTGGGCCCGCTCAAGCAAATCGATGATCAACGGGAGGGCCTTTACTTACTTTATTTTAATAACACAATGCTTAACTTGAAACCACATGTTACTAATTTCATGTATAAGGGCTTAATGACTCCAGGGTGAGATAGAACAATATTTACACACCTTCTTCCAAGAAAATCTTTTTTGATCATTTTTAGTGAATTAATCAGAACAAGCAGTACAAAATAAATTATTTAGGGCCTGCTATTGGGGCAGGCATGGGTGGTGGTTGGGAAATTGGAAATATTGTTGGTGGGATTGGAGTTGGAGTACTGAATGTAATAAATCACTGTGAACAACTTTATAAAAATAATTTAAAAAAAAACTATGATAAAAGAAATGAGCAAAACTTAAAGGATGTGAATGACCAAATACAACTTTGTTAATTATGCCAAAAAAAAAAAGCCCTAGTATAAAGTTAGCAAAATGTCAACGGTGGTTCTTTAGGGTGGTTTTAGGTTCTTTATTCATTAGGTTGATTTGTAATTAGAATTATCTGTTTGTTTTTTGTTTTTCTGGGCCATACCTGACATTGCTCCAGGGTTACTTCTGGCTCTGTACTCAGGAATTACCCCTAGTGGTGTTCTGAGTATCACATGGGATGCCAGGGATCAAACCTGAGTAGGCCACATACAAGGCAAGCAGCCTACCCACTGTACTCAGGATTTTAGAATTATCTGTTTGGAATAGGAGTTTGTAAAGTACATTCATTTATTAAATATACTGTTTATTAAATAAACTGTTGGTGATAATGGAATATAGTGATAGGGTGTGGACTAGTGCTTTAGAACTCAAAGGAGAAATTGTTTCTAGTTTATTTATTATTATTATTATTATTATTTTGAACTTCCACGCTTTTCTCAGGTGGCTGGGAGGCCACTCAGCTGGGTTTAACAATTCTATTCTAATGCCCAGTGGTGCTGGGGGGCGGTCTTCAAGAATATACCACGCATGGGGAGAGCTAGTGCAGAATTAAGGTTCTTTCCTTGCATGTAGCTGGTCTGGATTTGATGTCTGGCATCTCATATGGTTCCTCAAGCATTGCCAGGAGTGGATCTCTGAGTCAGAGCCAGGAATAAGTTCTAACCATTGTCAGGAGTGACCCAAAGACAAAAGCAACAGAGAAGAATGCACAAAGTAGTGCAGGATGGGAGTTGGGTGGAAGGGGAACAAAATCTAGTGAGTTTAAGCCCCTGCACATGCAAGTTAGGTGCCCCTGACCCCTGAACTATTGCCGCAACCCCTTTTTCTAACTTTTTATTCTTTAGAGAATTTGGAAAGATTTGAACATTTGTTTGTCTTAAAGAACACTTTAGAGCATAGACATAGAGCAAGGTTTAAGGCACATATCTTGCATGTGGCTGACCCTGGTCCAATCTCCAGTATCACGTATGATACCCCAAACCCTACTGGAGGCAGCCAGGAATAACACCTGAGCACTACCTATGGCCCAAGACCCCTTTTCCCCCAAAAGAAGGAAGAGGAGGAGGAGGAGGAGAAAAAAATCTTGTTTATAATCTGGTCAGAGGTAATGATGAAAAGGAAAATATTTAGGTGTCTGAAAATTTTTTGTTTGGGCTATACCTGGCAATGCTTAGGGGTTACTCTTGTCTTTGTGCTCATGAAACATATGGAGTGTCAGGAATTGAACCTGGGCTTGCTGAATTCAAGGCAAGTGCCCTAACTGCTGTTCTCTCTCTCTCTGACCTCATATTTAAAATTTTGAGCAGGACCCTGGTCAAAAAATTGAAGAAAAAAATTGTACTATACCTTTAGTAACTCTGCAGAGATAAAAGCAGAACTGAACAGAGGATGAAGCTACCACTTCGATACTTCAACACCACTAGCACCACAATTTATGGCATTCCTGCCTTTTACAAGTGCTCTTTGAATGCTTTCAGGTCTCATTTCGATAAGGGTGAGAAAGATGATGGGCTTGAGGAGGATTTGGTAAGATTTTAGAAAGACTGTTGGAGTCATTTTCTAGGAGCAGGCGGGGTGGGGAGATTGTGGCGAGGTTTTTAGGCGCTCTTGTGTCAATGGCAGGGGTCAGAGGTAAAGGATAGGTGATCTCAGTACTAAAAATCCAGTTAGTGTTAGAAATGATTTTCTAGAAGAGTCTTTCCCAGAGTGGACTGTACTGCCCACATCTTTTTGTTTTGTTACTGGTAAGGTTTAGGAATTTTTTTTTCCATTATTTTCCCTCTTGGTACTGCTTGGTACAAAAGAATGAATTTTGGCAAAACCTTTGTTTCTGGATGCCAAATACCTCAAGGAGGGTCAGGTTTCTCTGAGGGCAGGAGGCCAGAACCATCTTTGAGGCCTCCTTTCTGTGCTGTCTGCCAAAAGAAAAAGATTCTTTTCTCTTTTTTCCCTTTTCGGCCCACACTTGCCAGTACTCCAAGACCAAGTGGTGTGTGTGGTGCTGGGCATCAAACCCAGAACTTTTTGGGGGAGGCCGTGCCCTGCAGGGCTCAGGGTTTACTCCTATCTCTGCAACTCAGTATCACTCCTGGCAGGCTTGGGGGACCGTATGTGGTGCTGGAGATTAAACCCAGGTTGACCATGTGCAAGGCAAGCACCCCCTACCTGCTATACTATTGCTCCAGCCCTGAAACCCAGGACTTCTGACAGGCTCCCACTCTTTGATCTGCTCATCCCAAGGAAATTGGTCAACATACTGATCCTCTAGGCTCAGTTTGTGAGGACAGGGCCTTAGTAGTCTTAGAGCAAAATTCTACTTCACTTTTCTTTTTTTTGTTTTTTAAAAATACTATTTAGGATTGGATTATATCGTGCCATTGTTAATCTGTGAGAGACTGAAAGGAACATTCGTAAGGGTTTCTTGCTTAAAACTCAAGGAGTCAGGGCTGGAATGATAGTGCGGCCTTTCACATGTCTGACCCTGGTTTGATTCCCAGCATCCCATACAGTCCCCCGAGCACCACCAGGAGTAATTCCTGAGTGCATAGCCAGGGGTAACCCCTGTACACTGCCGAGTGTAGCACTGTAGCACTGTCCTCCCCATTGTTCATCGATTTGCTCAAGCCGGCACCAGTAATATCTCCATCGTGAGACTTGTTACTGTTTTTGGCATATCGAATATGCATAGGGAGCTTGCCAGGCTCTGCGTGTGGGTGGGATACTCTCGGTCGCTTGCTGGTCTCGTCTCTCCAAGAAGGGTGGAGGAATTGAAGCTGGGTCGCCTGCGTGCAAGGCAAACGCCCTACCAGTTGTGCTATCACTCCAGCCCACTGCCGAGTGTGTGGCCCAAAAAAAAAAAAACTCGAGTCATTAAATATTCTTGAGCTTTTTAATTCCTATGGGGTCTGGAGGGTCCCCCCCCCTCCCCAATCTTTGCTGACAGCAAATAGTCCTTGAGAGTCTATTTAGTTTGAGTCTAGAAATAGTAAGATTGTTGCTTAAAAAGCTGCTTTTCAGGAACCAGAGCCATAGTAAGAGGGTAGGGAGCTTGCCTTGCATGCAGTCCACCCAGGTTTGATCCTCGGCATCTCATATGGTCCTCCACTCATTGCAAGGAATAACCCCTGAATACTGCCAGGTGTGGCCCGAAAACAAACAAAAAAACATTTTGTATTTTTAATGGTTCGGATACCCTTTCACATTGTTACCAACATCAATCCAAACATTTGAGAAAGAAGCTCCATGAGCAGAGGTAAAGCTTCACTGGATAATTATGTGCTTTGCATGGGGAGGTCCAGTTTTCATTCTCAGTAAACTCATATGATCCCCTGAGTACTGGGAGAAGCCCCTGAGCACTGTTTGACTTAGAAAAAAGTGACAGAAAAAAAGAAACTGCCAAACAACTTAAATGAGATCTTTACAATTCTGACCCTTCCTGGATTGATCCATTTATTACACTACCACCCTGACTATAGAAACACATGTGAATATTATCTAATAATCACCCCAGCAAGGTTTTGTGGCCCCCAACAGAAAAGGTGATACAGGCGTGGGGTATAGATGAAAGATGAGGAGATGGTGCTTCTCCTATGAAAGTACTTTCT